CTTCATTCTCACCAGTTACAGTGTGCTCAGCCAGGCCTTGAAAGCACTAATTCCCCATGAGCTTCTTTCTTTTCTTAGATGTCCAACTATTTTTTTTTTTAATTCTGGCACGGTCTCCAGAAAAATCACAAAGAAATCCCCAGATAATACTGGATGCAAATATAATTGAATTATTGGACCTTACGACACACAAACGCTCTCATCATTAGGAGAATGAACAGCAGCAGAGAGTTTGGGGATGCATGCTTCTGGGTGAGCGTCTGTGAATTAGAATTTTTTTTTAAATGATACTGCATGCAACTGCATATACATGTGTACACATAAGACTGTAACCATTACCAGGCACATACCAGCGTCTATGCTCATCAAAGATGAAGCATATTTACTTGATGTCCAACATACACATTTTGCAGTTAGCGCATTCATTCATTCATATTCTACCGCTTAGTCCCTGAACAGGGTCACGGGGGGGCTGGAGCCAATCCCAGCCGGCAATCGGGCGAAGGCGGGGTACACCCTGGACAGGTCGCCAATCCATCGCAGGGCTAACACAGAGACGAACAACCACACACACACACACACTCCTATGGGCAATTTAGAGACACCAATCAACCTAAGCTGCATGTCTTTGGACTGTGGGAGGAAGCCGGAGTACCCAGAGAGAATCCACGCAAGCACGGGGAGAACATTCAAACTCCACACAAAAAGGTCTCGGGTGGGGCCCGAACCCAGAACCTTCTCGCTGTGAGGCAACGGTGCTAACCACTGCACCACCGTGCTGCCACCGTGCTGCCAATTAGCTCATAACAAATGCAAAGTCTGGTCAGCATCTTTTATTGTTCGTCTCTCACAGGGATGTAATCTCCACTGAGGATCGGGGGACTGCCCACACCCCACTTTATTTTCAGTTTGATACTTTGTGAACATACAACATAGTCAAGACTAGAGAAGAGAGGAGTTGATAAAAATGTTGTTATATGCATCACATGTTCTTTGGATTCTTTGATGAAGGTACAGTGTTTATAAATAAGACTGTGTGTGGGGGGGCGACTGTGGTTCGGTGGGTAGAGCAGTCATCTCCCAACCGCAGGGTCAGAGGTGATAATATCAGTGCCTGCAGTCCACATGTCGATGTGTCCTTGGGCAAGACAATGAACACCCAAGTTTTAGGTCGAACCGATCGACATCTCTGGCCATTACTGACCTAATGGAGGACGTAACAAGTGCTATGGATGAGAGGAAATATACAATGGGAATATTTATTGACCTAATAAAAGCATTTGACACAATCAATCATGAGTTATTAATGGATAAGTTAGAAAAATATGGGATCAGAGGATTGGTTTTGAATTGGATTAGAAGTTATTTGACACAGAGGCGTCAATTTGTGAAGTTGGGTGAATACCAATCGAGTGAGCTGGACATTGTATGTGGAGTGCCTCAGGGTTCTGTTTTAGGACCTAAATTATTTATACTATATATTAATGATATACAGTGGGTACAGAAAGTATTCAGACCCCCTTATATTTTTCACTCTTTGTTATATTGCAGCCATATGCTAAAATCATATAAGCTCATTTTTTTCCTCATTAATGTACACACAGCACCCCATATTGACAGAAAAACAAAGAATTTTTTACATTTTTGCAGATGTATTAAAAAAGAAAAACTGAAATATCACATGATCATAAGTATTCAAACCCTTTGCTGTGACACTCATATATTTAACTTAGGTGTAACATACTTGGCCAATAAAGGTGATTATCCTTATCCTATCCTAGCCTGACTCTTAACAATGGTAATTTAATAGAGGCTTCAGCTATATATTGACTGTAAAATATTAACATTCTTAGCAGGATGTAAGATGTACAGTATGTTTAGGCACAAAGAAAATTAGAATTCCTTCATTTACCTTCTCTAGTTTTAATTACTTTTGCATTATGTAATTGGCAATATAGAGTAACAAAGCTGGCATTTAGCATTAAGATCATTTTAATGAAAGAAGGTTCTGGGTTCGAGTCCCGGCTGATCCGGGGCCTTTCTGTGTGTCCAAAGACATGCAGCTTAGGTTGATTGGTGACTATAAATTGCCCGTAGGCTTGAGTGTGAGTGTGTGTGGTTGTCTGTTTCTTAGTGTCGGCCTTGAGATAGACTGGCGACTTGTCCAGGGTGAACCCTGCCTCTCAGCCTGTGTCAGCTGGGACAGGCTCCAGTGCCCCCATGGCCCTTGTTAGTTTAAATGTTATAGATAATGGATGGATGGATGGCGTCATTTTAATCAGCAATGCAAACAATAACTGTTTAATTTGACTTAGTGTATTAAACCAACGAGGGTGACTGTGATTCAATGGGTTGGTGGTTCGAATCTTGGTGCCTGCTTTTAATTATAACCGGTTCTTTTGTCTGAAGGCCCCAAGAAGTAACACTCAGGAAATAGGAATCAGCTTTACGTAGATTTATTTTCTTCTGGTTAAATGCAGAGTTATTACAGCGCTGGGCTCTAAGAGATGACAAGTCTCCAAGAGCCTCGATAATCAAAAATCATTCACATTTATCTTCTCGGGCTGGGACTGCCCTGTACATGGGTGGTA